GACAGGAAGGCCTGGCGCAATATGGTTCATGGGGTCACGGAGAGTCGGACACAACTTAACGACTAAACAACAAATTTATCACTGGGACTGTATCAGGGCTAACTCTGCCTGGCAGAGTATACAGGCAGTCTCTGGGTTAAGAACATCTGACTTAAGGACAATTCGTACTTACGAACGGGCTGCCTATTACTAAAAATGGCAGACAGTGTTCCCCTTCCCCAAGCTGATGAACTGCTGAAGCCATGCAATGTTTTCATGAACCACTGAAGCCACGCATTTTTAACATACAGTCTCTTTTCAAATGTACTTAGAATCAGACTCCTATTCCAGGCAGCGTTATTTGATTCTAAGATGCTGTCCTCTTTCAAATTTCATAATATCATTTGACCTTGAAACATAAAGTGAATATGGGAGTAGGTAGAGAAACAGAATTTGACATAAGGTTTAACAAACTCATGCAAGCATATGTAATGTGAATATATTGGCTATTTATGTGGTGCATATGTTCAGTAGAACATACTCCTGTTTATGATTGTAGCCTTCAAGCACAGTAGTTATAGCATCTTATAAATTTTATGAATGTGATATTTTTACCTTAGAAATACCTTGAGAATGTGAAAAAATGAATAAAATATTCGTTACTTTGATTGATTGATTGATTGATTTGTTCATTCATTCATTCATTCATTCATTCATTCATTCATTCATTCATTCAATCAATTTGTATGTCCACCCATCTCAAACAAGTGACTCTGGGTGGCAAGCAATCATAAAATCAGTTAAAATCAAATTACAAGCACAATACAAAAGAAAATTAAATATTTATCTCTTATTTGCATAACTCTTGTGTGTTGTCTCCTTCCTCCCCTCGTCCCCCTAGTGTTCTTGGCTGGCAGATGTCTGTCTTGTTCAATGTGCAAGGGGAAACAGAAGGAAGAACACAAGCTGCATCATCTTTGAAATAAACAAGTTTCTGATTGGCCTGGAGCTCGTTCAGGAGAAGCAGCTGCATATAGAGGCTGGCAGCTTGAAGCCAGATGATGATACTAACTGCTCTGTATCTTCAATAGAAGAAGATTTTCTCACAGCATCAGAACACTTTGAAGATGAGGATGAGGATGATGAATATAAACAAGGTAACATCTAGGGGCCTGAGTATAAATTCATAAGTTTGTGTTACCCAGCAGCAGGTGATTGACTGATCATGTGCCATCAACTTGGTATCCATTTTTAGTGGCCACATAGATAAACCTTCTCCACCATTATCTATCCCCAGCCTAGCCTTTCAGATCTTCCAACAGTGCAGCTATGACTGCTATAGTTGAGTGTCCTCCTTGCTCCTGGTCATCCTCTTCTCCTTCCTATCACCTTTCCCAAAATTAGAGATCTTTCAAGAAAACTAGGTCTTCACATAAAGTGCCCAGGGTATGACATTTTGAGTCCGGTAATTTGTGCCTTGGGTGAGAACTCTGGATTGATTTGTTCTATGTCTCATTTCCTTGTTTTCTTGGCTAACCATATTCTCAAGAATCTTCTCCAGCACCAAAGTTCAAAAGTGTCAATACTCTTTCTGTCCTCCAACATTTACTTCTTTAGAATGTCACAGAGAAAACCATTGCCTGCACAATTCTAATCTTTGTAGGTATAGACATGTCACTGCATCTGAATATCTTTTCCAAGGCCTTCACTGCTATCTATCATCCGGTCTGTGGCATATTTCTTGACTGTTGTTTTCTGTTGATACAAGATCCTAAAAAGCAGAAGCTATTCACCACTTCAGTATCTTCATTTTCAATTCTAAAACTGGTTGTTGTCATTCATATGGTCTTCATTATGTTTAATCTTAGTTCCATTTTTTCATTGTGCTCCTTGAGTTTCATTATTAAAGCTTGCAGATCATTTGTATTTTCAGCTATCAGAGTTGTCCCATCAGCATAGTGCATGTTACTGATATTTCTTCCTCCAATTTTAAAACAATGCTCATTCTCCTCCAAACCAGCTTCCATCAATATATATTCAGCATATAGAGTGAATAAATGAGGAGAGAATATACATCCTTGTCACATTCCTTTACTGACCTGGAGCCAGTCTGTTTTGCCAAGCTCTGTCTGTACTGTGGTCCTATGTATAGGTTTGGCATGAGGACAGTGAGATGTTCTAGGATTCCCATTTTCCTGAGAACATTACTTAGCTTGACATGGTCACACAATCAAAGGCCTTTTTACAATCAATGAAGCATGTATTGACTTCTTTTTGTTATTCTTCAGCTTTCTCAGTTGTGTGCATTAGGAATAATGTCCCATGTTTCTTGGCCTTTTCTAAAACCAGTTTGAACATCTGACATTCCCTTTGCATGTTGGGGTCTAATCTGCATTGGATGATCCTAGACATTATCTTATTAGCATGTGAAATTAAGGGTACTGCGCAATAGTTTACACATTCTATTAAGTCTCTTTTCTTTGGTATTGGAATGTAGACTGACCTCCTATAATCTGTGGCCCTCTTTGTGGTGCTCCAGATTAGCTATGTGTGGTGCTGTGTGGTGCTATCCTAGCTGAGGGGGCCATCATCTGCAGTATATTGGCTATCACTTTATATTGTGTATCCATGTGGTTTTCTTGGGAAAATACAGGAGTGGTTTACCACTGCCTTTTCCCACGCAGTATGGACAGTTGCCTTTACTGTTGGCACTAAAGTGATTACCTACCTCCAGCATCTTCCTATATCACTGCTGCCTGATATCAATGCCTGCAATCTAGAGGTCTGGATATAAATTCTTAACAGTCTGTTGTGCCCAAGAATAGATTATGTTCAGTGTTCATTCATGCATATCTTTTAAATGCAACATAAAAGGAGATTTTTAAAAACCCGCATGTTATTAAGTACCATTCAAAATATCATCCATGAGAGAGATATTTGATAATTTTACAAGGTGATTTTCTCTCCTTTTCATCATACTTGGAAATGCCCACTGTTCAGGAGACTGACTGTTTTCACAAGTTAATGTATTGTTTCCCTTTTCCAGGTGAAGAAAATCTGAGTGCCATAGAACTTGCAGGTGAATTCAAAAAGTACAGAGAGGAAGATTGTGAAGACTTGCATTGCAAAAAGGCCCAATTGCCCTTTTTTCTGAAAAGTAGCTGCATTAGTCATGAAAGCACGGCTTCTGGAACTTCAGGGTCATCTGAAGAAGAATATAATAGTGAAGCTGAAGACAATGTTATACAAACTGTAGATGAAACCATTAAGCAGCTTAATTGGAAAGTTGGAAAGTATACTACAGCTGGGAAATTTAAGCCACTCTCTAGTGCTGATGATCAGAAAGACTTTTTCAAAAGTGATAACAACTCTGACAGATCAGAAAATGTATCTTTGACCATAACAACTAAGGAGGAAATGATTTTATTGGATGATATAACTGCAGGACAAAAAAGTCATTTGGACATGTTAGACTGTAGAGTTGAAAGAACACCTCACCCTCTCATTCAAAATGATCAAGCTCCTACAGGTCAGTTTGCAACAAATTTGGCAGAGTCTGTCCTGCAAGATGCATTCATTAGATTGTCTCAGTCAACGTTTACCAAAGAAACTGCCCTCAGCATCTCTGTCAGCAACTCCTTAACTTCAACAGTACATGCAACACAGAATGAGATGGCATGCCGGTCATGGAATGTACTTCCAAAAATTGTTATTGTTCAGAGTCCAGATGGTTCTGATAATGTGTCTGAGTGGCCTGGGTCTAACTTCCCAAACTTGCATCCTTGGTCTGAAGTTGAACATTCTTCTGATGCTGCAGATTGGTTCCAAGACAATAGTCCCAGTGAAAGTACTCAGAGTACTTTGGAAGTAGCCTTGGCCTGTGCAGCTACTGTCATTGGTACCATTTCAAGTCCACATGCTGCAGAAAAGTTCAACGAACAGGAATCCATGACCTCTACAGTGACTGTGGGTGATCATGAAGAACTGGAGGAAAAAAATTCCCAAAGTGCCAATAGTAATTGTATCTCTGTGGATTACTCATTTCCACCTGCCCTTTCAGATATGGCTCAGGTGGCAAATGTAGTTGCTGCTCATGGACTTGGTGAAAAGAAAGATGAGTATCCTGTAACTTCAGGTGGACTCTTATCTGCAGCTGAGACATCAGCAGCTGTTACGCTCCATTGTAGCATAGCCATTGGGAGCACCATGGAGAATCTGAACAATAGCATTGCACAAGCCTTGCTCAAAGAGGCATCTCTAGTATTAACCAGACCTGATGCATACAGAACTATAGGAGAATTTATGGAGTCTGTAAATGGAAAAATTGTTCAGGCTGCAATGAAGCCCTCAGCCCCCCTTCTGGATGAGGTCATTGTTGATGAACTTGCTCAGAATTTGTCCAATATTATTCTCAGGCATTCTGTGGAAGAAGTTAAAAAGAAGCAGCTATGCTCAGAAATGAACATAGATGCATGCTCAGAAAGCACACAAGATGTTTTTACTGCAACTGCAAATCAGCTGCTATTTAATGTATTATACTTCACTTGCAAGAAAATGAATGACATTGCACAACTTAATGAATGTTCAAATATTTGCATTGTAGATAATCTTAGCAAACAGGTAATGGAACCAAAAGATGCAACAAAGGATGTATTGCATCAGTCCTCAAGCTGCTACAATAATAAGCTTAGTAGTACCTTCCATGACAAGGATGATGTGTTCATGACAAATTTGATGAACAACGTCAAAGGGGAAATTGGGCCAAACGCCTTGGAATCTGCCACACTCTGTGTAGATTCACTATCTACAGTCAATGCTCAGAGTTCACCCTGCAGAAAAACATCTTCCAAGAAAAGGTATTTGAAAAGAATCACAAAAGAATGTTGCAGACCCACAAATCCTAATAGCAATCACATGAAGACAGAACTCTGTCCATTTAGTGGCAGAGAAAACTTGACACCAGGCAGTGAATGCAGACACAGCTTTCAAGAATTTCAAACTCCCAATGTCTCCGTAATGACAGAAAATCATGAAAAGTACACATGTGATGCAGTATGGCACAATGAAAGCCAGCTTAGTGTGCCTTTCTTGGATAATCAAGGTTTTCTGCCTACCCGACCTCTGGTATACTTGAAGCATCCAGCAGATAAATACTGCCTAGCAGATTTTGCAGAAGAATTGGCAGAAACAGTGGTTTCCATGGCAACAGAAATTGCTGCCATTTGCCTTGATAATTCAAATGGCAAGCAGCCTTGGTTCTGCGCATGGAAAAGAGGAAGTGATTATTTGATGCCCCAGGCTTTGCCATGCCGATCTATCAAAAGGAAAAAGGAAACCCAGTCTAGTGGATCAACTGTGAGAAAACATAGGCCACCTAGACTTAGTGAGATCAAAAGAAAAACAGATGAACACCCTGAACTAAAAGAATGGCTTATGAATAGGGTAGTAGATGACTCCATTAACCTTGATGACACCCTTGATTTGAGCAATAACTTTGCAAATGAAGCAGCTGCTAAAATTATGAATTTAGCTGAATTCTCTGTGGCTGATAATGTGTGGCAGAGTCCAAACCATCCTCGAAATAGGCTTCATTGTGACAGATGGAATAGAGTCAATGCATCCAGCTGTGAAAGCATTCCTGAGGAGGACTTGGATTCTAAAGGGTCTGCAAATACTTTGGCTCTCATAAATACTTTAGGGCAGCCAATAAGCAGGACTAGTTCAGTCTCCAAGCAGTCCAGTTGTGAAAGCATTACAGAGGAGTTTTCAAGATTTATGGTCAACCAGATGGAAACTGAAGGCCGAGAGTTTGATTTATTACTTGACTACTATGCTGGGAAAAATGCAAATAGCATTATAACCTCTGCACTGCAACAAGTCACCAAAAGGAATGGCCACCTCAACGTAAGGCCAAGTTGCCCATCAAAACAGTCAAGCACAGAAAGCATAACAGAAGAGTTTTATAGATATATGTTAAGGGAAATTGAAAAAGAACAAAAAGAAAAAGTATATTCTGCTAAGAATGCAAACGAATGGAGCAGCAGCTTATTACTTCCCTCCCAACGATCATCTTTTTGTTTCAGGCAGTCTTCAGTCCCTGACAGCAGATCCTCAACATCTAGGCTAACAGTAAATATGCCCATTAAAGCAAATTCGTTAGATGGTTTTTCTCGTAGTAGCCACCGTGATTCCTTAAGTGTATATCCAGTCAGCACAGCATCCTCTTCAGGGCTCTGTAAATCAGATTCTTACCTGTACCAAAGATGTAGGACTGACCAGGTAACTGACATGCTCATTCATGAGACCTGGGCAAACTCCATCAAAGCTCTGATGTGCAAGAACAAAATAATTGTAGACAGTGGGGAGGTTGCAGAGCCTAACCAACATCCTTATGACTCTCCACCACATGTTCAGCAATATGCACACAGGCTTGCTGCAAATATTGTTGAAAGTGGGAAAACTTTAATTGCCATCCAGCAAGATTCCACAAAGAAAGATCACGTCACAGAAAGCAGCCATATCCCAGAAGGGATGCAAAACAACTCTAAACCATTTGGAGACAGAATAAATTTAGATGAGAAAGAACAGCAGGCCTCATTCCCTGGATTGTTCTCTATAAAACACACAAGCTCTTCTTCTTGCCTAAGGGAAGTGCCTTTAATCCAGATCGAAACAGATCAAAGACAAGACCTTGATGATGCCTCAGAGCCTTTAAATGAAGTTCACGTTACCTCTGGGAAAACAAGAGAAAATCTAATCAAAGGAAAACCCGTAGATGCAGATTCAGGACAACAGCTAATTTCCTCAAAAAGCCATGGGTAAGTTTCATTCCCCAAATGCAGAACATAAGGCTCTGTGGCAGACAAACTAGTAGTGCCCCACCAGGAAGGCAAGATGTAAAGAAATAAAGAAGCAGTCTTGCAAATCTTTCAACTTTGATTAAGCCCAGAGTGTGTTTGGGACATGCTCCAAAATGGCAGGTGGAGTCGTGACAAAAAAAAGAGGGTGGGTTCAAGAAAATTAACAATGGAAAATGAGGTATATTTACATAATTCAATACTCTTAATAGATTTTAAATAACTACTCATGATTTGCTCTTTCATAGCACTCTCTACTCTGATTTATCTTATACACATACATATATCATCACACATTCCTTCTTAGCCATAACAAAGTGACTCAGAAAACAGGAAAAGCAACTCACTTTCAATCATTGTACATTTACCACAATGGCAACACAGAATATTGCATGCAGAATGTTGGGGAATTGTAGGCAGCCTAGTTCAATCATCCACCAAACCGGCAATCATGATGGTATGGAAGGAGAAAATGTGGGGTGGGGGGGAGGCTACAAAAGTTAACCCTAGAAGTACGAAGCAAGAGGATGAAAACAGCTAATTGGATGAAGGGATAGAAGAAAGGGGATAATTAGCTTGAATGGCTTGGAGATCAGGCAAGGAGGAAGAAATAGATACGGGGGGAAAAAAGGATGAAAATAGGGGAGAAAATCCAAGAAACAGGATGAAGAAGTAAAAAAATAAAACAGTTTGGTTTCTTGGTAGCTACCTGATTTCTAGCTAGCCTGCTAAATATTGAGCATGGATACCAGAGCACATGTTGCTGCACACTCAGGAAGCAGGAAGGAAGAAATCGTGGTAATCCAGCCTTTTGACTCCTTTCAGTCCAATACTGGTGCCATCAAGATGAACGGCACAGTGACTTGCCTTGAGTCAGTCTTCTCCTCCTCCTTGCCCCTCCTTTTCCAAGCACAGCAGTAAGTGCACAGTGTCAGCCCTCCTCTCATATCTTTCCTGGCTGCTCATCACATAAACAGCAGCTGTTTCTTGCTTGCCAACCATAGGATCAAGCAGGAAGTGTCCTTTTTCTATGATCTTTTCCTCTTCCTTGCCTTACTGCTGCCAGTGCCTATCTTCATGCATAAAGAGCAGAAGGAAAATCTTGAGGAGTCAGGCAGGCAGGAGGGCCCTGGTGGAAAAAATGAAGAGGTGAGTTGGAAGGTCAGAGAAAGTATTGGATCAAAGACAGATTAGAGAGCATTGCTTTTTCCAGTAGCAATTCTGCTCCACAAACGTCATTATTGCTGCTACAAGGGATTTATATGGAATCTATCTGAATAGAAGAGGTGGGCAGATGTAATGTAGGATCCACTTATAGATTGGGTAATTTGTAGTAAATTATCAAAGATTTCTGATTCATAGTCATTTAGCAATAGCAGCAACAAAATGTTATTTTCCATTTAAATTAGACTACAGTGTAGAACTTTTTTGCAAACCATATGATGAGAAAAATATTTTGAGGATGGCTTCATTTTATTTTCATGCAGAATACTTTTTTAACAATGGAGATTGAAGTTTCCCAAACATATAGATAACCGAGCTAGAATTGATGGCTCAAATTACTTCAGTCATGGGTAAACATACAAGAAATTTATCATTCCACAAAAAAATCCTGGCCGCTTTATCAATCTTGCCTCATCATTGTCACTGGTCAGCTTACACAATAGGACTGGTAGCTGATCCTGAAGACATTTATATTTTTTCATGGAACAGGGATAGATTGTTAGAATTGCCAGGCCTGCACCTTTAACTTTAAGAAAATATTTTAAACATATTTTTAAATTAGGTAAAATATTTATATACAACTTTCCTATGCATTTTTTTGAAATGAATAACAGTAAAACCAAGAACAGCAAGAAAAACAACAACAAAAAAGAATTGCTAATAAAACAGGTACAATAAAAACTAGAAGTATCACCTATAAAATACAGATTGAACCTTAAAGAGCTGAACAGCTTTATTGATTAATGCCTTGGCAAATGAGGTCTTGCATGGTACCTAAAATTTATCTGAATAAACACCCAGGAAAGCAGCTGTAAAGAGAATGTTCATAAGTTGTGTCATTGCCATTGAATAGTCCCATTGTCTGATCACCACTCACCTCACATCAGATGGTGGGTAAGGAGGTTAAATGACTATGGAGGTGTTGCAGCTGTACCTAACAAGAAAGATCACATTGCTTAAAATTCTTAATTACATTCCTTCCCTAATCTGCTGTTCTTTCTCCCAGTTTCCCATCGCTGAAGCAAACTGGACTTTAATTTTGCTCGGCAGCAGATGGAAAAGGTGAATGATTTGACAGGGACCAGAAAGGAATGGAGTATGGGAGGGATAGCGGTACCAACTCCAGACCAACTCTCCTTCCGAGAGACAATTCAGAATACCACTTTAGCTCTTCTGATAAAATATATGGAAACATATGCATCTTCAAAAAGGGCAGTATAAATTGCCTTAGATTATGATGGTTCCATGACTAATACAAGGGTGTTAAGAGTTGGAATTCTTTCAACTGTAGGAATTACAGGATAGTCTTGTTTCATCAGGAGCATTTTTCCCTTTTTTTTTATCAATCAGTTTGACAATGTATAGTTGCCCTGAATCTGAAGCCTCTGTGGAAACTAAAGCAATGGAAGAGTTTCCAGTCCCTCTTAGCAGCAGTGAAGAGAGCACGTGCAGCAGCTGGTGCCAGCTGGCAAACAATCCTGATGATACAAGCAGCTATTTGCAACTCAGCGAGAGATCTATGAGGTAACCTTGTGCTCTTCAAGCTATAAACTGCATAAATGTTTGGCTTGTGGCTTTCTCAAAATGAATTCTGCAAAAAGAGGTCTCGCTTTCATACTGAGCTCCAGGAGACCTCATTACGGCTTTGGAAATCATACAAAAAAATTGTAACCCCATCCAAAACAATTGCTTTCTATTTCCATAAGAAAAACACTAAGGAACAAGCTAATTAGAGTCAATCAAGCTCATTTTTTTTCCATTCCATATTACTGACACATATATTGCACCTATTACTTGGGTGACTTGTATTTTCCTCTGCTGTATTAAGTTCTCATTCACCATTAGGGTAGACATCTGAGTAGAAAAGTCTGGAGGACAAATGACTATTGTAAGGCACCTTCTTTTGCTGTCAAGCCTAGTCTTACTACATCACTGAGTAAAGCAAAGTCTCAGGATGACATCTATAGATCTACATAGCTTTATTAGGCCTGGATGCTCAGTCTATAAAGAAAACATAACTTGGATTATCTATTCCTTTTACAAATATTACAAATATTTCATCCTACTCTTCATTCACTTTTTTTTTTTTTTGGTAGATACAGATACCAAAGCAAAGTAGATAAATTCTTGTTGAAAGACTTTTCATAAAAAATAATAATTACCACTGAGCTTTTACTTTAGATCATTTGTCCAACAAGACTGATGATTTGTATTAGGGGACTATTAATTGTTTTCAGTGTTCACATGATGTGGCTCACTACTGCTAAAGCAATCAAGTATTTGGAGCTGCAGATTGACATAAGATGTCAGGCTGCCAAGCCGTGATGCCTCTTATTTTATAAGAGGTTTCTGAATTTCTGGAAGGATATTCAAAGGCTTTCATAGGATTATAATGTGATCAGACCTAAAGTTTGATATAAACTTGTTAACTACTTGGTGATTGCAACATCAAATGATAATTGGAACATATATAAAACAACCATCACTGAGCCAATATCGTCAAATGTTCATGTCTCCTGTCATCTTCAAAGCAATATTTCTTAAATGATGCATCTCATATCTTTGCTGCCAATTTCAATTGGTGCATATACATGCATAAATCACCCTTTGTAAAGGATGTTTTGCTGTCATCATCTTAATTTCAAACCACATACTTCAGATTTGGTTCTTTCTTCAGTAATACATAACATCACTAGATGTATAGTCACCATATCAGTTTACTTGATTTATCCACTTATTTTTTGTTCTGCTAATAATGGTTTGCTGAGTAAACAAGAACTACATGCCCTCATTCTGACAAACAGAAAAGTAGCAGTTCTGCCTGTCACTTTGGTTTAACATTGTGTTCAAGTGCATGTTGGGGCAGACTAGCATTAATACTAAAATTTTTGCATTGTCAGCAATGGCAACAGCAGTACCTCTAGCAGTCTTGGCATTATGGATCTGGAAATTTATCAGGAAAACATGCCATCTTCTTATGCATTTAAGTAAGTAGCTGTTCAAGGGATCATCTGGCCTACAGAAACACCATTTCATTTCAACCAAAAATCATTCACAGTATGTAGAATGTGGCAAACTTTTCCAAAGCTTCATTGTTTATCTTGATGCTTTCCATTTGCTGTTTCGTGCAAGTGACAATATAACCCTATAGTTGCTTATTACAAGTTTGATAATTATTGTTTAATAAAAATAATATCCACCTCTTTCACATAAATATTACCATGTATTATGAAGTGCAAATTAACTTTGTGCCCTGTGTATTGAATACATTTGCACACATATCAGTTCATGTGTATTTTTCCTCCCAAACATTATCATAGTTTGATAGTTTATTATCAAAGGGTACAGTAATTACATGTTCTTATCTACCAACACATTTGCTTATTTTGAAGAGTGATGCCCAGACTTCTATTTGAATTATTGTCAAGACAGCATGCAAGTTGTAATAATACAATGAAAATGAAAGTCAGTTTGGTGTAGTGGTGAAGGCATGAGGCTAGAAACTGGGAGACCATGAGTTCTAGTCCCACCTTAGGCATGAAACCAGCTGGGTGACCTTGGGCCAGTCATTCTCTTTCCACCCTAGGAAGAAGGAAACAGTAAACCACTGCCAAAAATTTTGCCAAGAAAACTGCAGGGGCTAGTCGAGACTAACTAGGCTGATCACAGAAGTAGCCCTTGGTCTTCAGGCTTATGTTGGAGGTCAATGTATCCTTTCAATATTCAGTCCAAGGGCAAGTTGGGCCATAGCTCAATGTTAAGTTACTTGCTTTGCAATAAATAGTCCTTATTTCAATTCATCCATTACTGGTAGACTAAAGTATTTCAGACAGCTAGCTATCTAGCCACAAGTCCTGCATTATGCTGGTTGGCAAACAAGCAGGAGGCAGTTAGCACATTTCCACCAGTCTTTTTAGCTTAGACCTAAGTCAGATAGCAAATGATTACTGGAAATGAGGGGATGTAAATTAAACAGTAAAAGATACGCAGAGAAAGAATCTCATGCATGTAATTCTTACTGTAGCCAAGGTTTAAACAAAATCAAGAAGAGCATGTCCATTATAGTCCAATAGTTTAGAGCCAAAGACATCCATGATATCCAATCCAGGGGTCATAAGTTGAAGATCCATTCACAGGGCAAGAAGTCAGAAGAAACCAGAGGAATGCAGGTCCAATAATGGAGAGTTGTTTCTAACAAAAGAAGCAGCTTTGAAGCATGCTCTTATACAGCCAGAGTTCTGGGTTTTGCCTAATTGTTAATTAACTCTGCTAAAAGCTCCTTCCTGAAGAGTCATGCTCTCTGAACTGGCAGCCCTCTATGCTGGGTGAGTCAGGTGGCTGACTGCCTCTTGTCTTCTAAACTGTAGGCTGAAAGTCTGCTAGGTCCTCCTATTCAGTCTTATAATCAGAAGAATCCATAACCTCCTCTTTGGGTAATTTTGTGGATTAAGAGGTAAGTAATGCTTACCTATTTTGCAGATGACACTAAATTGAGTAAATAGCTGAGCCTATTCTGGAAAAACTTCAAAATAATTTTAATACATTAGAGAAAAATAGCTGAAAATAACAAAATGAAATTTAGCAGAGAGAACTGCAAGTTCCTCACTGAGGAAAATCAGATGCATAGGAATATGATGGGGGCTATCTGGCTTGGTAAAGATGCTGTGAAACTGATATTGGAGACGTACTTGACTGCAAACTGAATATAAATCAGCACGATGATCTTGCTGCAAACAAAAGACAACCACCACTTTAGATTACATCAGCAAAAGTATCATTTCCAAATCTTAGGAAGTAATAATTCTACTTTATACTGCTTCAGTCAAGTTTTCCATTCTGAGGGCAGCTACTTTCCCTCCTCTGCATTTCAACCTCTATTATTCATGTATTATTAATAATTATTAATATTAAATGTAATGCATTGCATTCCTCTCACACAGGATATCTCTTAGCAACAATTTAGGCTTGTTCAGAACAGACTCAATTAATTTAAGATGAAGAAAGAGAAGTTGTTAAGTTCAAAATGAAAAGATAATTAACACAATGCCCACATTTTTAATATATTTTCTTGTTTGGGTTTATTTGTATCACATTAGTTTAAAAGCATTAATGGTCTGAAAAGGTATGTGAAATATGCTTATATAGTCTACTATACCTGGAAAATTGTATCATTTATAAATGGATGGCCTATAGCAATGCTTATTAAACTCTCTGACTCAATTACCCTTTTCCTGGTTTTGGATAATGTCATTACCCCCACAAAAAACAAACTGTTGTTTTATGCAAGTGTCTTAGCAATGGCTATTCCAGAGTGGATCTTTGACTCACAAACAATTACAAATTGCTCCATTACCCCACAACATGCCCAAATTATCCCTAGTTTAAGAACCACTGGCCTATAATGACATGGCAAACTTTGGTATATTTATCTCAATCCAAGCCACATTTGTGTTTATTTTTAATAAACACCTTTTGTATTTATTTTTAATGAACACAATATTGAATATTGGATTCAATTAATCAATTTTAATTAAATGACTTTTCACTTCTGCCCAGTGCAGATGCCTTTGTAGAAGGTTTTGTGTAGAATAGCAGAAATTAACAATCTTAACAATCGAGTGTTGCCTTAACAATCAGTGTTGAAATCCATAATAAGCATTTCTTGGTTAAAGGCATGGAAAAGAGTTAATGACTGAGGTCCCAAAACTGTTGAGTAAGCATAGGAGCTTCTGCCTTGACCATTTGCCACCCCACTGCACTGACTCATGGATTTGAGGCTGCATTGAGTTTTGCTCTAGGTTTGCTGGGCATCTCTTTAAATATTTTGGCAGGAAAGGAAGTAAAATCTCTACCAAAGACTGATCTGAATCAGAATGCCTGTCTGGTAGAAGAAAACAACTAAACAGAGGCTAGGTGTGCCTCCTTTGGCAAGGAGTTACTGAGCCTGGGAGCAAAACACAAGAAAAGCATCTCTCATTCCTATCACTGCTCAACCAACAGGTTTCTGTTAGAATAGTTCATAATAAAACCATGGCTTTTCTTTCTCTATCTGAAGCAATCACAGATTCATGGAAGAATGTGTAGGTTCTGAGCCAAAGTTCTTTGTAAACATTATCTTCTTGTTTTTGTTTCTTAAGTGATTTAACAGAAGGAAGGCTTTTCTGTGAGAAATCACCAGAAAAGATACAAGGTAATCCATACATCATAAAACAAGGCAGGGGGGTTTACTTCATAAGCAACTGGCTCATGAAATAAAAATCATGTTTTCACTCTTCAGCATGCGCTTCTGGGTTGTCTGTTGAAACTACTAATGAGCAGAAGGATCTCTTGGTGATAAACTTGGACCTGGAACCAGAATGTCCTGATGCAGAACTGCGTGCTACGCTTCAGTGGATTGCCGCATCTGAACTTGGGATACCCATGATCTATTTTAAGAAATCTCAGGAACACCGAATTGAAAAGGTATTGATGGATGGATGGATGGATTCCATTGTTTTATATACCACCCTTTCTGTGGGACTCAACACAATGTACAAAGCAAGAAAATATATAAAATAGGCAACACCCCCCCTTCCAGTTAATCTACCTAAAAGAGCATCCTGTGTACCATTCAGTGGAACAGCCTGGTCTTTAACAATCTGAGAAAGGCAGGGAGGACTAAAGGCAGTCTGGGTCTGAGGAAGTAAGCTGTTCAAGCATGGGGGCAGCTACAAAGAGGGCATGTTGTGGATTCCTACTCCATAGGCTTCATATCACGTGGCAGCTCTCATTAATCCCTTCCAGAAGAATAAATGGGACAGGAGTCATAGCCCTATAGGTATCCAGGAGTTCAGGCATGAAGGGTTTTAAGCATGAGAACTAGCACTTTGAAGTGAACCCAAAAACTGTAAGGTATAATTTACAGTATTTGGGGAAGAACATCTTATTTTCAGATAAAAAATGTTACAATAACATTTTAAGGATTGTTGCCATCTTCTTATAGTTTTGTATTGCAAGAAGATTGGCTTTTGCCATTGAAATACTGTAAATTTGTCACATCTGTATCCCATAATTTCTCTAAGCTGCTCAAGGTAGTTTTTACACAAAATATCTCTTTTGTCTTCACAACCACTCTGATATAAGGTCAAGAGATTATGACTTCTTAATGCTGTACCTTGGGTTCCAGGAATAACTGGGGATTTAAAGCCAAACATCTTGTATCCAAACCTGCGCATTACACTTGAGTCATATGTTCTGAAATCTGTCTGATTAATGCACATACAAAACAGCAGTCCAAACATTGACAGTAGTACAATTTACATACTACTCAGTATTGCTTAGAAAATTATTTCCACCACCACCACCATAAAAATCTGTTCATTCACAACTGTAAGCCACAATGATGTATGTAAACTAGATTTACAGCGTGGGTCAGGTAGGTAAATGTAAAGTGATAGTTTACATAGTGAGGAGTACAAGTTTTAGATATATCCTGCTCCCTCTTGCCTAGTGCCCTTCAGTAGCCTTGGACCAACTCACTCCAGAGCCAGCAGCATGATCTGTGGCAAGGCATTGCAGAAGCTGTGGTCCAAAGTTCATGGTGCAAATAAGTTGCTTGTACAATATACACCAATATCTCATAAAAAAATAGGAGCATACCATTGCTGTAATAGCATAGATGCAGAAATGCTAGGATCTGCTGAATCTTAAAAAAATAATCAAATTGCCCTTCAGTACAGCTGACATATTGTTAAGCATTCTCAGGGGGAAAATATTTGGAAATCTTAATACATCATTTAAGTGCAGATTCAGTAACAACTGCCCAATTTTTGTCTGTCATAGAAACAGCTGTCAGCTTTGTAAACAGTTGAATCAATTACTAAAACACATGCGAGAAAGATTAAACACATCTTGCCTCCAAGATAGCTTTTGGAAATTCACTTGCTAGTTTAACATCTTTAAAATATGTGTTTAAGGTTAGAATGCCGTACACTGATAGCAAATAGTCCAGGAAAGCAATGGAGAAAGAGAACAGTAATTAGATGTTGATTGCAAAACTCAAGAGGATGAAAGAAAATCATTTTTAAGCCCAAAGAAAAGTAGTGTGATATGATGATGTAGTGTAGCATAGCACAGTGCAATGTGGCTAGATTTTTCCCAACTGTCTGAAGTGTAAAGGAAACAAAGTAACCAAAGCACAATTGATGCATAGTAGAATAAAACATACTTTTCTAGATTTTGTGCTGCTCTATGATTGAAATAAAGATTCAGTATTGGGTGTTTTAGATTTAATTTCCACTGACAAAGACATTTGAGCAGTTTTAGAGACCTACAACCCAGTTCATTGGTATAATTTCACCAAAGTCAGCTGTAGGAAAAATAGTACATCCCATTTATTTTTACTGTTTGCATTTAAGTAGTATCTTCATTTCTAGCAAGTATCTGCTTCTCGAGATTCCTTACAAATGCATGTGGATTGTTTGATTTGTCATTGGTCATCACTAGCTGAGTGATCAGTAGCTAAATGTGAATCAGTGCAGTGGACATGAGTGGTGGCCATCAGTCTTCAGTCAATGACCCTCTGCTTCGGCCAGCTCAAACATGCATGACATTTGGTGCAGCTGTTTTGAATAATTAAACTGTGAATGAATGTGCATTAGTGTAGATCTCCTGGCTTAAAATGAAAAAGAAGAAACATCTTGGGAACAAACCTTCTCTAAAAATTATTATTTTTTTCTTCCAGTTTTTAGATGTTGTGCAGTTTGTCCACCAGAAGTGCTGGAAAGTGGGTGATATCTTTCATGCTGTGGTACAGTTTTGCAAGCTCCATGAAGAAAGCAGAGAGCCAACTCTGAGCCTCTTTGATTGGCTTCTTGAACTAGGATAGAAACCTTCTTAAAGACCTTATTTACATTTTTAATCCATTTAAGTGGCAGTGATCTGTGAGTGGACCTGTTTTATTCAAGATCTCAACACATCAATTGAGCTGAAAATTATAAACTCTGCTGCTACTTCGTGACCCTGTTCCAAAGCTGTGCAAAGAAGGGAAGTGAGGAGGGAGGGGAGGGCAGGAAGAGAGAAGCGAAGACCCAGAGTAAAATGTTATTACATGGGGGACTTTATAGTTTTGAATGTATTACTCTTGAAAAGAATAGGATATGCATTTAAATGACTACGTTTTTACAAAATATGAATGAAAAGACATTTTTCATAATCTGCCAGCTATGTGTATTAACTAACAACTGGAATCACAATAACAAAAATCATTTTTAAAAAACTTCGTATTTATAGTTCAACTGCCCTAGTGATCTGTAGATTGCTTGACAAATGAGTATGTATC